AGACATTTACGAAAATTGCGAAATTTTTTAAATTTTAGAAACTTGTAAGTCCAGAAATTGTAAAAATTTGAAAATTTGTCATTTCCAAAACACCCAAGAAATTTCAAAATTTTGAGAAAGATTGTAAACTTTCAAGTTTTTAATTTTTGAAGTTCTAAAAAAATTGGAAATATTGTAAGTTGGACTTCAAACATTGTAAACATTTGAAACATTTTAAGAAGTTAAGAAAACTATTATTCTTTAGAGAAGCCGTAAGTCCAAACATAAAATGTTTAATTCACTTCATACTACTAAAAATAAGGGGAAAATAATATGCGAAAGAAGTTCCAAAATTTTGATGGTTTTAAATGGAAAAACCAAATTTGGGACAATTTTAGACTTGAGACATTTAATTTACGAAAATTGCGAATTTTTTAAATTTTAGAAAAAAATTGAATTTAGAAGAAAATTGTAAAAATTTGAAAACTTGTCATTTCCAAGACACTCTAGAAATTTCAAAATTTTGAGAAAGATTGTAAATTATCAAGTTTTTAATTTTTGAAGTTCTAAAAAAATTGAAAATATTGTTAAGTTGGACTTCAAAAATTGTAAACATTTGAAACATTTTAAGAAGCTAAAGGAAGCCGTAAGTCCAAACATAAAATGTTAAATTCACTTCATGCTACTCCAAACAAGAGGAAAATATACGAAATAAATTCCCAAAATTTTGATGGTTTTAAATAGAAAAACTAAATTTGGAACAATTTTAGGCTTGAGACATTTACGAAAATTGCGAAATTTTTTAAATTTTATAAACTTGGAAGTCCAAAAATTGTAAAAATTTGAAAACTTCTCAGATTCAAAACACGGAAAAAATTTCAAAATTTTTAAAATGATTGTAAACTGTCAAGTTTTTAATTTTTGAAGTTCTAAAAAGTTGGAAATATTTTAAGTTGGAGCTCCAAAGTTGTAAATATTTGGAACATTTTAAGAAGTTAAGAACAAGTATTATTATTCTTGAGAGAACCGTAAGTCCAAACATAAAATGTTAAGTTCATTTCATATACTAAAAATAAGGGTAAAATAATATGCGAAAGAAAGTCCCAAAATTCTCATAGGTTTAGATGGAAAAACAAAATTTGGAACAATTTTAGCTTGAGATATTAATGAAAATTGCGAATTTTTTTAAATTTTAGAAACTTAGAAGTCCAGAAATTGTAAAAATTCGAAAACTTGTCATTCCCAAAACACCGAAGAATTTCAAAATTTTGATAATGATTGCAAACTGTCAAGTTTTTCATTTTTGAAGTTTTAAAAAGTTGGACATATTGTAAGTTGGACTTCCAAAATTGTAAACATTTGAAAGAAGCTAAGAAAAGTACTATAGTTTTGAATTTGGTTTAATATATTTACGAAAATTCCGGAACTTGAAGTCCAAAAACTGTAAAAAATTTGCAAACTTTGTCATTCGTAAATCACTTCAAAAGTTTCAAAATTTCAAGAATCCTGGGAAGTGTCAAAGCAAAAAAATTAAAAAAACTGAAATATTAATATTTGGAAATTGTATTATACATTTTATGAACAATCTGTATAATAACACTCAATTTAATTTAGACCCCTAGACCCCAGCAAAATACGTACTTTTGTTTATATCTCCATAAAATATTGTAACGCAGGTGTTGCGATTTTTTTGCGAACTTTTGAAGTCCTAAATAATTTAAAGAAAATTGGAATAAGGTGGCAACGTCGAATCGGAATTTCAAAAATAAACCACAGTTTTAACACCTATGAACAGGCCAATGAAAATATATAAAATATACAGGGTGTATTTAAGAAAAAAATTACGTTTGTATTGCCTCTAAAACAAAACGCTCTGTACAATTGAAAATAGTTTTAGCTTAAATTAAATTAAAATTCTTTTGTTACTCTGTACGTTTCAAATGCGCGTTGTGATGACGTCAGAAATTCTTTGAGTGGGATGAACAGACAAATTTCGCCCATCGTTTTACCATTTTTAAAGACAAGTTAAAAGTTCCAAGATAATTGACTGGTAATTTCGGAAATCACCTGTCAAATAAATATCCAACAGACATGCATACGACAAACAAACGGAAATTGAGAACCTACACTTTTTTAAAATTAAATTATTAAAATAGTTCTCACATATGTTATTTAAATTAAACATTATGCATTTAATGTCGATTTGTATTTAAAGTTATTACGACTAATGCAGACATTGGCCAGCGGCCTAACATCAACCAGGAATTAATCACAATAATCACAACCCATTATCCACTAATAACTATAGTAGGCGAGATCTTTATTACATATAAATTTGCTTGGACGAGCAGGTAATTATGACTAATGGAGTGTTGTAGAAGTGTTTATGATAACCACTTGGTACTGAGGTGAACACAATAACCAGGCCTAAAGCGGTCGCTTTTATGGAGAGTGGGTAAATTGCCAGTTTTGGAATATTCACAAGTAGTATAATAATAAGGCTGATGTCACAACTTTGCAGCCAATCAGAATCGAGTCCGACGAAACGTCTACAACTAATTGTGGACATTGTTTTCGTCCCGTTTTTATTCGCGGTCGTGTGTACAATTCATTAGGTAATGAATTATTACTCACGATTTGTGATTATTCTCACAGTAGTAATTATGCCAGTATTGACATTGGCAGGACGTAGCGAATGTCGTAATTCTTACATTATGCACACCTTTTATTAAAAAAGTACTAAATGGACTAGTCGTAAAAAACTGTATGTAGTATTCAACGCACGTCAGTATGAATAATGACCATCTTTTGCCGACTCTCTCATAATAGTCTGAATCGAGTTTGCTAAATTCGCGATGTGTTTTACTGGTTGCATACGCAACACTGTTTTAATATGACAAAAATAAATTTTGCGAAAATGACTTATGTTTGATTAGAGTAATATAAACTAAAAGTTTCGGGCTATCAATTTTAATTATTTTGCTTGCCTCCGCTATTAGAATCCCGCGCTATTTTTAACCCGCGTCCTCTGAAGTCTCCGAAAAGTCATAATCCAGTTTTTCACACCACAGAACTTTGGCATTCCAAACAAACTCTTCGCTAAACGGTGCCAAGTTATAAAATTATCTCCTACTTTCCAGCATGGTTAAGGTCATAAACCCTTCTTAAACATTTCAACATGATGACGCAAGAATTTTGAGATTAGTAGGTGTTTTGGTGTGAATACTAATTAAATAGCGATAATCACAGTAATCCAAATATGAGGCGAGATTTGTTTTGAATGCCTTCCAGCACTAAATAATAATAGTAATAATAATAATGACAAAAGCGCAGTGTGTTTCCCATAATTTAATATTTTTTCGTCAGGCTACTCCGATAAATCCCTACTTTCCCATTGTTATTACTTATAACATTATCACCGCCATCGCAATTCCTTGCCACTCAACAAATTATTCATCCTGGAGCTACGATTGGCGGAATCTATGTACCGGTGGGCGGCATTTGTTGATTTTGCGATAGAACTTCAGACAGCAGAGGCTGTAAAATTTTTACGGTTGCGCGAAAACGCGAATCACGACTGGCCATTAATTCGGACCGCGTATAAAAATCCCAAATTAACCGTTCCAGACGGCGCTGGAGCCTCCGGCATTCCAGCCGGCTCCAAAACAAGACATCAGCGGCCTGTTTACAGAGGAAGCCCCTGATATAATATTTGCCGTCATAATAGATTAGTCGATGGCATGTGCATTTCACTATTGTTTACACAATCGGGTCCTTAACTTTTTTATATCTTCGGCTTAAAATTAGGCGTTGGCTGGTCGCCAAACCGCATCGATCGGAATGAGAAATGGGCAAATTAGCCTTCTTGCGTCTCACGATGGGCTTGTATCAACACAGCGGTTGTTCTGTTGATCGCTTGCTGATTAAACTTATCATGGACGTGAGTTTGGCGTGATTTATGGGGTTGCTGGAGTTGAACGACCAAGAGAGTTGCATTCACCTCTTCGGAGCCCAGGTGTCATTTCTGCTTACATAAGGTCTCGCGTTTTTTTTTTTTTTTTTGTTCAATGGTGGAAAGATAAACCTGAGGATTCGGTTCAGTGCACACAATTCCATCACAGCCAAAAAGCTTTGTTGTTAGTTTAGTGCAGTTTGCTTCCTCGGCATAAGGTAGTGGAAACACGATGCAAAAACTTTGAGTCATTATTTGCTTTCAAAGAAATTTTCAACGTCTCAATCACCTTGTATTTATAGAAAATCAGTCATCAAATTGAATAGGCAACCAATTATACACTCCGTTGAAGTTCTCTTGTAAATCATACAATTCCGTGTCCGTTATATTATGAAGCGGAACACCAAATTACGCGTTACAACAACACAATGGTCAAGATTTAATAAGTGGCGACAGTTAAAACTGATGGTGAATGTTAATTTAGATCCTATATTTCCTGCATTGAAACGTGAAACCTTGTTATCAGCATTGTCGTGCATATGGGACAATCACGATCAGTTTGCAACAGTAACAACTGTCTCCAAGGTGAAGAACCTCTAATCGACTAAGTAATGTAGGTACGCAAAGTCGTCAAATTGGCGATTTTCGCTTTAGTTTTTTTTTCCTACAAAAATAATACATAATGCACCTCAAACAATAAAAAAAGTCCCAATTTATATGTCCCGAGACTAAGAAAGAAAAAAGTGCGCAGAATGAATGTTTCCGGGGCGAAATCGCCGGCCGTTATCTCGCTTTAAAGCACCTAAATCTGCGATCTTAATGGTACCGCGCACCCATTAAGAAGAGCCCAAATTATAGCGCTTAATCAAAATGAGTTGCGCTTCTCTTCGGACCCCCTTGACGATAAATTAAAGAACGCGCAAGCAATTCGGACTAATTGCGTTTGCGAGAGCACTCTGAGGCTGCGTTCGCTCGTTTTGCTTCTGCTGTTTTCTCGTGTACTTGCGGTCAATTTGCAAGCTCGCAATTTAAGATCTGGTTCTTGGTTGATTTGTTTCTTTTTCCACAGCAATTTTTTAGCAACAATCTGGCAGTGAACAGGACGGGGCTGTACGGGAGGAGTGACCCCTACTACGATAACAGGAATTACCCCTCGAGCGGAAGCTACAGGCAAGGAGGCGGGTACTACAGTGCCGATAGACAGAGTTACGAATCCACCGAGAGGGAGACCGGAAGGCCCCCATATTCGTACGAAGACGCAAGAGCTAGAGCGGCCAATAGGAGTTACGATGCGCGGACGGGGGTAACCTCCGGGGGCAGGAGCAGGGTTGGGGCCTACACGGAAACGAGAACAGACTCACCCCAGTACAGGTGAGTTGGTTTTTTAAATTTGGATGAATCTTTATATACCTGTAAAAATGAACAGGCAAGCTCAAGAATCATCCAGTCAGTACGAACAGTCTGGGCAGTACGACCAATCCGGACAACGTAGCCAATCCGGACAACACAGCCAATCCGGACAATACGGCCAATCCGGGCAATACGACCAGTCTGGACAGTACGGTCAATCCGGACAGTACGGCCAGTCCGGTCAATATGGCCAGTCCGGACAGTACGGCCAGTCCGGACAGTACGGCCAATCCGGACAATATGGCCAACCCGGACAAAGCCAGTCGGGACAAACAAGCCAATCATCATCCTACTACGGGTCGTCCCGATACGAATCCTCCGGCCAACCTGGTCAAGCATCCGGAAGCTCAAGATCCAGTCAGTACGAATCCTCCGGTCAAGCCGGTCAAGCATCCGGAGGCTCAAGATCCAGCCAGTACGAAACCTCCGGTCAAGCATCCGGAGGCTCAAGATCCAGCCAGTACGAAACCTCCGGTCAAGCATCCGGAGGCTCAAGATCCAGCCAGTACGAAACCTCCGGTCAAGCATCCGGAGGCTCAAGATCCAGCCAGTACGAAACCTCCGGTCAAGCATCCGGAGGCTCAAGATCCAGCCAGTACGAATCCTCAGGTCAAGCATCCGGAGGCTCAAGATCCTCCAGCCAGTACTACGATCAGTACAGTGGCCAAAGCCGCAACACCTATGCTTCAAGTCCTTACCGAAGCAGCAGACCATACTCTAGCAGTTATGACATTCTCGACGCTCCAGGGAGTGCCTATGGCCCCAAAAATGGCAGCGAAAGGTGTATTCCGAAGTGTTTCGCGGAGAAAGGAAATCGGGTACGATTTGTCCCTTTGTACTTTTCCAGAATTTTATTATTAACTGTGTAGGGCTTTCCCGGTGTGCCTGGCATATCGGGGGAAAAAGGTCAGCGCGGTTTCCCCGGAGAAGAAGGTATAATGGGACCTAAAGGCGACAAGGGCGAGCCCGGTCCGATCGGGCCGCGAGGTCCTAAAGGAGATCGAGGCAAAATGGGCGTTCCTGGTTTTCCTGGCATTAACGGGATTCCCGGGTTGCAAGGACCTCCCGGACCATCTGGGCTACCGGGTTTGGACGGTTGTAATGGTACTGATGTAAGTATAAATGATGTAGTGTTTCCCCCTCTAAATAATCTCAATAAAGGGTTTTCCTGGTGTGGATGGTCTGCCCGGAGAATCAGGACCTCGCGGTTTCCCTGGAATACCAGGGACTAAGGGCGAACGAGGTGAAGACGCCCATTGCGAAATTAATCTAAAGGGACAAAAGGGTGAACCCGGACGAGATGGAGTCACGGGTCCTGCAGGTAATCCCGGTCCTGTAGGTCCACAAGGTCTACCAGGAGTGCGCGGTGAAACTGGCGTTTCGGTAATCAAGAAAAATTGATTAAATATGTAGCCTACATAAAAATTGTAGGGTGTTAGAGGTCCACCTGGTCCCAAAGGCCAAAAAGGTAATATGGGTATAGGTTTCGAAGGCGCAAAGGGTGATAAGGGTCAGAAGGGTGAAAGAGGACCAAGAGGTTCATCCCCGCCGCAAGTCCAGGTTGGTAATGGAACAGCCCATATTGGTCCCAAGGGCGAGCCTGGCCACAAAGGTGAAGTTGGTAATTGGGGACCTATAGGACCGAAAGGAGAACCGGGTATAGAAGGGGACATGGGTATACCTGGTGGAATTGGAATGAAAGGAGAGAAAGGATTATCAGGGCCTCCAGGACCAAGAGTAAGATATTTCCCACCATTAATAAATCGTGTTTGTAATTAGAACATAATTTCAGGGAAGAGACGGTTTCGCTGGCCCTCCTGGTCCCCCCGGACAAAAGGGAGACAGAGGCACTGAAGGTTTACCGGGCTTATCTGGAAGGCCAGGTTTGAAAGGAGAGCCAGGTAAAGATGGACCTGCCGGATTTCCTGGATTAGTGGGTCCACCGGGACCTCCCGGTGGTGGGAAAGGGCGTCCTGGACCTCCTGGACCACAAGGACCTCGAGGTTATCCAGGACCTATGGGACCTAAAGGCATGGACGGATTCCCTGGAGATCCAGGACCGAGAGGACCTATTGGGCCGCCTGGAGGACCGGGCGTCAACGGCAGGCCAGGACCTGAAGGTGCACCAGGTGAAAAAGGTCAAAAAGGAGAGTCAGGTTCAATTGGGTTCCCTGGAGCTGATGGACCTAGAGGTTATCCCGGACCAATTGGAGCTCCAGGCGCGCGAGGTTTACCCGGCGAAAAAGGAATTTCGATAATGGTATTTGCTGTGGTAATAGTATTCGGTAAAAATTTTAATGATGCGGTTTAGGGACCTAAAGGTGATAATGGAGAACCTGGAAGGGACGGTGAACCTGGACAAAAAGGAGAAAGGGGTTTCCCTGGCTCTCGCGGTGCTCCGGGTGATGCCTTGAATGGTATTCCCGGCTTGAATGGTCCCCCAGGACCACGTGGTGAAAAGGGAAACTCTGGCAGACCTGGCTTGCATGGAAGCCCGGGATTGCCTGGTGAAAAAGGCGACATTGGTGGTAGATGTATCGATTGCATACCTGGAGGAAAAGGCGAGAAGGGTGAACCTGGTTTCCCTGGCCGAGATGGGGATGTTGGTCCTCGTGGTCCACCTGGTGCACCAGGTTTCGTCGGACTTCCCGGATTAGATGGTCTACCAGGCCGTCAAGGTGCACCTGGTCGGCCGGTAGGTATTCGTATTACAGTCTTACCATGTTTTATGACCATTCTTCATAGGGTAAAGACGGTGAAGCAGGTATGCCGGGAGATCAAGGAGCTCCAGGTGAATCAGCAATAGTTCCCGACAGTCTCGTTAGAGGGGAAAAAGGCAACAAAGGCGAGAGAGGATATGCTGGTCAATTGGGGCCTAAGGGTTTACCTGGACCTCCAGGAATTGTCGGAGAACCAGGATTGCCCGGAATGCCCGGCGAAAAAGGTGATCGAGGATACGACGGATTCCCTGGTACTGACGGAAAACCGGGAACAGCTGGTATCCCTGGTGTAAAAGGAGAAAAGGGCACGAGCGTGAAAGGTGAACCTGGGTCGTCTGGAAATCCAGGACGTAAAGGTGAAAAGGGAGAACCTGGACGTCAAGGCACGAAAGGCCCTGCAGGACAATGCCCCGAAAGCATAACCGCACAAATGAGAGGAGATCGTGGTGCTCCAGGTCCTAAAGGCGAACCCGGAATTACAGGTTTCCCCGGTTCACCAGGCGAAAAAGGTGAGCCTGGTCAGACGGGAACTAGAGGTTCTCCGGGACAAGATGGACCACCGGGACCGGTAGGAAGAAGAGGTCTTCCAGGTCCGAGGGGTGACAAGGGCGATATCGGTCCGATGGGTTTCCCTGGCGAAAAGGGAAGAGACGGTTCACCTGGATTCCCAGGCTTAGCTGGAGGCAAAGGTGGCAAAGGAGAAGCCGGAATTCCCGCTGTTGGACCACCGGGACCTCCAGGACCAATGGGTTATAAAGGCGAGAAAGGATTGCCAGGTTCACCTGGAAAAACTGGATCGCCAGGTCAACCAGGTTTATCTGGATTGATGGGAGAAAAGGGAGACGTAGGTGTTCCTGGATTGAACGGTCTTACCGGACCTCCGGGGCAAAAAGGAGAACCAGGACCTTTAGGTCCACCAGGAATTCCTGGAGCTTCAGGACTATCAGGGCCTGGCGGACAAAAAGGCGAACCGGGATTAAAGGGCGATCAGGGTACTCCAGGATTACCTGGCTTCCCAGGAATTAAGGGTGAATCTGGCATACCGGGACTGGAAGGACCAAAGGGATTCCAAGGACCATCTGGACGTCCTGGACCTCCAGGACCGCCAGGAATGGATGGACTTCCGGGACCGAATGGAGAAAAAGGAGACAGAGGATTCGGGGGACCTCCTGGACCGCAAGGGTTAGTCGGCATGCCAGGATCTATTGGGTATCCTGGAGAAAAAGGTGACACAGGACCAGGTGGTCTCCCTGGATTGATGGGACCCGCAGGAAGACCAGGATTTAAGGGAGAACCTGGGCTACCGGGATTGCCTGGCGAAAAAGGCAGTCAAGGAGAGGTATCTGCAAAGGGTCAGAAGGGTGAACCTGGAATTTCTGGTTTAAGAGGACCTGACGGATTACCGGGCAGACAAGGCATCTCTGGACCTAAGGGCGAGGCAGGTTTTAATGGTCAGAGCATTCCCGGACAAAAGGGTGACCGCGGAGCACCAGGTCTTCCTGGAATCAATGGCCAACCCGGCATTCCCGGACAAAAGGGTGACCAAGGAGTAGCCGGTTTCCCAGGACTGAAAGGAGAAAGAGGTTTTCCTGGGGAACAAGGTGCTCCTGGTATCGATGGTTTATCTGGAGAAAGGGGAGAAAAAGGTGATATCGGCTTCCCCGGACAACCAGGCTATTCTGGAGAAAAAGGTGACATCGGTTTGCCAGGCCGCAGTGGTCTTGACGGAAACAAGGGAGAAAGAGGACCCCAGGGACCACTCGGACCAGTGGGCTTCCCTGGTCCAAAGGGAGAGTACGGTGAACGCGGTGCACCTGGTCTACTCGTGACTGTAAAAGGTGACAAAGGCGAACCGGGTCCATCAGGATTGCGTGGCCTAGAAGGCGAAAAAGGTGATCGAGGGTATCCAGGTCAGCCAGGATTGTCAGGAGAGAAGGGCAATGCAGGATTCCCTGGACCTAAAGGCGACGCGGGTTATCCAGGACAAGCGGGCGCAAAAGGTTGGTGTAATGCATCGATTAACATGAGATAATTTTATTTTTGTAGGTGATCGAGGGTTGTCTGGTATTCCGGGAGCACCTGGAGCTACCGTAAAAGGAGAGAAAGGTCTTCCAGGTTTGCCTGGAAAGCAAGGACGGGAAGGCATTCATGGTATCCCTGGGGAGAAAGGAGAACGTGGGCTTCCAGGATTACCTGGTGTTGCTGGTGCGGCCGGCATACCTGGACCTGTCGGCGCGAAAGGTGAAAAAGGTGAAATCGGTTTCCCTGGACCCGTCGGTCCACAAGGAGCGGTTGGTTCACCAGGACGTGATGGTTTCCCTGGCGCTCCTGGTTTGCAAGGAGACAAAGGCGATAGAGGTCCACCAGGTTTAATCGGCACACCTGGCGAGAAAGGAGATCGTGGTATAACGGGCTTGCAAGGTCCTCCTGGTTACAATGGAGAAAAAGGCGACAGAGGATATGACGGACAACCTGGACTGCCTGGTCCTGTTGGAATGATAGGAGAGAAAGGTTTCCCGGGAGCGCCTGGAAACCCCGGAATATCAGGAATCCCAGGAGTTATAGGTAAAATATTGAATTTTGCGAATTCGGGTACTTAATAGATGCTGCAGGTCAGAAGGGAGAACCAGCACCTCCAGGCCGGCCAGGTCCTAAAGGAGACAAGGGCGCAGTCGGACCTCCTGGACGACCAGGAGAACGCGGTTTGCCAGGTCCGATTGGTCCTCCTGGACGAGACGGTATACCAGGCGAGAAGGGTGATCGTGGAAGAAACGGTTTCCCAGGTACTCCCGGTGTAGCAGGCGAAAAAGGCGACAGAGGTGAAGTAGGTATCGTCGGTATTACTGGACCAGTGGGCGAACCAGGTCCCAAAGGAGAAGCAGGAGCGGCTTGCGAAGCAATTGGTGATTATCTAACGGGAACATTGTTGGTTAAACACAGTCAAAGCGTCGAAGTACCGCGCTGTGAGAGCGGGCACATTCAATTATGGGAAGGTTACTCTTTGCTTTATGTTGAGGGTAACGAGAAGGCACACACACAAGACTTGGGTCACGCCGGTTCTTGCGTTAGGAAGTTCTCTACTATGCCGTTTGTCTTCTGCGATTTCAACAACGTTTGTAACTATGCTAGTAGGAACGACAAGTCTTACTGGTTGTCGACTAGTGCACCTATTCCTATGATGCCGGTGGAGGAGTCTGCCATTAGACAGTACATCTCCAGATGCGTGGTGTGCGAATCACCTGCCAATGTTATCGCAGTCCACAGTCAGTCCTTGTCGCTACCGGACTGTCCCAACGGATGGAGCTCGTTGTGGATTGGTTACAGCTTCATCATGGTAAGTATTCGCGTGTTTGTATCTTCAGGAAAATACATTTCTTTGTGTGTTAGCACACTTCCGACGGCTCCGAAGGCGGTGGTCAATCCCTGGTGAGCCCGGGCTCTTGCCTGGAGGACTTCCGCGCGACGCCCTTCATCGAATGCAACGGCGCCCAAGGCACCTGTCACTACTTCGCCAACACCCTCAGCTTCTGGTTGGCCACCATCGAATCCAACCAGCAGTTCCAGAAGCCGCTGAAGCAGACGCTAAAGGCCGGCAACGTCCGAGACAGGATAAGCAGGTGCCAAGTATGCATCAAAAACTAGCACGCCGCACGATCTAGGCCTTTTATTATTTTGTTGACTCGATGGGTCAGTCACACTGCCTGTGCGAATGTCCCATCCGAAAATGTGTTCAACCTCATAGTGTTCCTTGATTTTCCGAGTCCTTGTCCATCCGTCGACCCGGACTCTCGACCGGATGGACAAGCACTCGCCCAATTTTTGTACCATAAGCTTTGTAACTTTTTTAATACTGCCGTGCCATGTTTGTATAACATTAAAAACGCATGTAAAGAGTTTTGTATAGTACTTAGTCTAAGTTGTATGTATGTAATAATACCACACGCTATAAAACTGTATGTTAAAGAAATTATCAGTGGTATAGAAAAATAGGGCGGTCACAGTTCTTTTTTTTAAGTTTCGCTGTGATTTTTAATAGCATTTTTAGCAGAGTAGTTATCTTCTAAAGAGAATATTTTTGTAATTAATAATTTTAATGGTGCTATGTATCCCTGTAACAATAATTTATGTGTTCGCTTTAAGTCTGCAGTGATCTTTTTTTTTATATAAACACAACGGAAAGTGTCGTCACATATTTTTTACTTTTATATTAACTACATTCCCCATTTCGCATTCTCTTTCTAAACTTCTAGTCAAAGGACGAATCCAAAAATTTTCTAAATCGTCTGGGTTGGGTATCACTGCACGTTGTAATTTCTCTAGCTCTTACAATCTCTTTGTTTCATTAAAACACTGCCATTGTAAAATAAATAAATATTACTTAAACAGTATTGTTAGTTTTTTTTCCTGGACCTTGCATTAAAAAGATGAATAGTTAAAAGCTTTTTCTGAGCTAAAAAAGTTAAAAGGAAAACTTGTCTAATTTCAGTGAAGTGAAAAAGGCTCTTTCAAATGCAATAGCTACAACAAAAATGTATGTGTTATAGGTAACAAATGTAATTATTACTCTAGTTTTTACGGTGACAACAAAATATGGGCAAAATTATCATAATGGAGGATTATGCAACACATAATACACGTAAGGTGAAACCACTATTGAATAAAATCGTGTATGACTATATACACAAAAGTTCCCTCCAAATTTGTTCGTTATAAGATGTAAAAAGAGAGCTTGATGATGAGAAAATCTTTCTTCAAATAAGTTAGTCAAAATTAAAAAAAACTTTAGCTATTTACCTATAATTTTTGTGCAGTTTTACACAGATGCACAAATGACATTTACTTCATACTGCAATTCTTTATGTAGGAGAGTATGAATGGTTGCATAACATGTAAGACTGTTAAATCAGTGGCGCATCGACAACATGATCAAGGTAGGGTAGAAATAGAGAAGAAAGATGGTAAAAAAGAGCAATATCTATAAACTAGGGTCCTGCTGTTACAAAAACAATGTAACACCTATTTGCCATTCAAAGATGTCACGTGTACGTTTACAATATATTGCGGTGTTGGTGGATTTTTCAATTTGACACTATTGTTTGAACAGCCACATTTACACACAACCGTTCTCCTCAAATTAAGAAGTGCCTCAATTAAATATGCTGAAATATGCACAAACGTCATTTCTAGCCTGAAACGATATAATCATTGACACGAAGACGTAACGACAATAACATTTAAAAAAATTAGACACGCATGTGTGACCTAACAGCACATGTGTTGTTTGCACGTGACTTCACACTTTGGCGAGCACGTTCGATAAAAATTACAGATATTAAAATTCCATTTTCTTTTGTGAGCGTCCGTCATAATTTACATATTGACCGTCACATGTGATTTAGCTGACACAGAACCCACAAAAGCGTTTACGCAAGAGCTGCATCTGAAGACTCGAGTGGAAGAGCGTCTAGTTCTCGTTGATTGAGACATAGGAAGAAACAGGTCTATTGGCACCTTAATTAATACTGGTTTAATTAAAAACCGATAAATTCCAAGTATGTTGCGGTTAATTAGGTGGCGACCGAATATTGGTAGTTTTCATGCAAATAGCTGGCGGACATCGGAGAGTGCTGGTTTATGAAACGATTTATTATCTTCGTTAATAAACATTATTGTCGATAATAAATCTTGATTGTGGCGAGACTTGTTATAAATTCTGTATTTATTAATGCGAAAATATCAAGCATCCGGGGAAAGATGTTTTATTGCCTTGTTAATATTGCAGCTACCCGCATAAATTAATAAAGGACTTGTGGCAAGTAAGTGGCGAGTATTGCCCGTTATTGAAATGCAATTGCGAAAGACCGTGAAGAAAATAAAACGGAATTTTACTGAAAATTCTCTTACGAGTTTCACTCACTGACCCAATTTGCGATTTTGATCAGAAACCCAACCCATCGCCTCCAAAATTTATTTCGACAAGATAAGGCCCTCTGTTTATGTAAGTCGCGTAAATCATCGTGCCATCTTTATTATGTTTTCCGTTAGGCAATTTTCGCTCGACTTAATCTCCCCGGAAAAGAATAAAAAAGCCGAGTAAATTGTATCTGCGAGCCGATGATGGGTGAGAACCCGTCCTTATCACGGCATTAATCGTCCCATTAATCAAAGCACGAACCCCAGATAGCATCGGCCGCCGCGCCGTCCCAGAGCTCATCCCGGACTCCCGGAAACGCTGACCAAAACACGTGCACGCCCTAAAAACGAAACCGTTGCATGGTCCCTAATTAACATAGCTAATTAAGTCGCAAGGGTGCGCTTTGCGCATCTGTTATTAAGAGCAGCGGCGGCGCTCACAGTTATTTTCTTTAAATTATTATCGTTCTTGTTTTTATTATTTTCAGTTGTTTCAATCATATTCTATTTTTTCACTAATAAATATTTGAAAATTGTCTCAGCTTAGTGGTCAAGTTTGACAGTCATAATTCATAAGTGATAAATAGACCCTACCCCGGATTTTGGTGATTTGGAAAAACCCACGTTTAAGGGCGGTGCGTGATTGAAGGGTTTAGTGCCTGCTACGAGTAGCTAGTAACCTATTTAAATTTTATTACAGTGGTCATCTCTCAGGACCGCTTTACCTGTCGGTTATGAAGAAGTAATTTTACCCGAGAAATATCTAAAACTGTGTTCATTTTACTGTTCGTTAGTGAAAAGATCCGTTATTGGATGATTTCTTATTTTATGTGTCCGTTCTCGGAGGTTTCCAACAATCACACAAGTTGGAAATCAAAGAAACCCATTTCCTCAATACCATCTAGCAATTTGAGTTATAGTTGAAAGTAAATGGGTTTTGATTAATTTTAGTATACCTACAAAAACTACTAAAATGTGAATAATATGGCAAGTTCCACAAAATAAAATAGGATATAAACATTCGTTGTGATTGTCTAGGATATATTATTTTAAAAATTCGATAGTTTCGTTGTTTTCATTTTTTAGAAGGAAAGATAAAAATGTAATTTCTTCATATAATTCGAGGCCACAAACGTCCCTACTTTTTTTAAAACAAGCACTTTTTCAAGATTATATTTAAATTATCTAAGAAAATAGAGGGTGGGAGGAATACTTGCTAAGATAAGAGTGACTTTGGCAAATCGCATATCCTCAAAAAAAATCAAGGGTGGGTGGGCGGGGCTAATATTTGCTAAGATGAGACTGATTTTGGGAAATGGTGTGTCCTCTAAGAAAATAGAGGACGGGTGGAGCTAGTACTTACTAAGAGAAGACTGACTTTGACAATTATATAAATAATTATCAAATGTAAACTTTTGTTTCAGATCACATATTGGTTCATTATCACCTTCATAAAAAAATATTTCTATATTTTGCTCCATGGAATTACTTTTTCCTTTTCGAACCAAGACTGACTTTCAAGCCCTTTATTTTCTTAGAGGGTACGTCATCTGTCAAAATCACTCTTATCTCAACAACTACTAGCTGAGCCTACCCACCCTCTATTTTCTTAGAGGAACCGTCAATTGCCAAAATCAGTCTTATTTTAGCAAGAACTAGGTCCGCCCACCCGCCCTCTATTTTCTTAGAGGATCTGTCAATTGTCAAAATCGGTCTTATCTTAAAACGTACTAGCCCCACCCACCCACCGTCTATTTTCTTACAGGGTACGTCATCTGCCAAAATTATTCTTATCTTAGCAGGTACTAGCCCCGCCCACCCACCCTCTCTTTTCTTAAAAGGTATGTCATCTGCCAAAATCAGTCTTATTTTAGGAAGAACTAGGCTCGCCCACCCGCCCTCTATTTTTTTAGAAGATCCGTCAATTCTTAAAATCAGTCTTATCTTGGCAAGTACTGTCCCCGCCCACCCTCCCCCCTTTATTTTCTTAAAGCATACGTCATTTGTCAAAATCAGTTTTATCTTAAAAAGTACTAGCCCCACCCACTCGCCCTTTATTTTCTCAGAGAATACGTCATTTGCCAATCAGTCTTATCTTAGCAAGCTTTAGCCCCACCCACCCGCCCTCTGTTTTCTTAGGGGGTATCTCATTTGCCAAAATAGGTCTTATCTTAACAGCTACTAGCAAAATGGCAAATGATATACCCTCTAAGAAAAGAGAGGGTGGGTGGGCGGGATTAATGCCTGCCAGGATAAGACTGATTCTTGGCAAATGACATACCTACTAAGAAAAGGGAGGGTGGGTGGTCGGGGCTAGTACTTGTTAAAATAAGACCGAGTTTGGCAAATGAGATACTTTCTAAGAAAAGAGGGGGTGGGTGGACATGGCTAGTACCTGCTAATCTAAGATTGATTTTGGCAAATCTAAGAAAATAGAGGGCGGGTGGGTGGGACTAGTACCTGCTAAATTCAGTTTTATCTTAGCAGGTACTAGCTCACCCTCTTTTTTCTTAGAAAGTATCTCATTTGCCAAAATCGGTCTTAATTTAGCAAGTAGTAGCCCCGCCCACCCACCCTTCTTTTCTTAGAAGGTATGTCATTTGCAAAAATCAGTCTTATCCTGGCAGGTATTAGCCCCACCCACCCACCCTCTCTTTTCTTCGAAGCTATGTCATCTGCCAAAATCGATCTTATTGTAGCAGATACTCATCTTGTCACCCGTCCTATATTTTCTTACAGGGATCTCATTTGCCAAAGTCAGTCTTACCCTAGCAGGTACTAGCACCGCCCACCCAACTTCATTAGGCAAAATCGATGTTATCTTAGCAGTTACAACCTATGATTCGACTGATTTTGGCAAATGACATATCCTCTAAGAATAGAGAGGGTGGGTGGGCGGGGCTAGCACTTGTTAAAATAAGAACGATTTTGGCAAATGAGATAATTTCTAAGAAAGGGGAGCATGATGCAGAAATAAAGTGTTTGAAAAAGCTGAAAATTTTAGAGTTTTAGATTTGTCATTTGCCAAAGCCAAGCTCATTTTAGCAGGTACTACCCTTGCCCACCTACCCTCTATTTTCTTAGAGAATAAATCATCTGCCAAAATCAGTCTTATCCTGGCATGTATTAGCCCCACCCACCCACCCTCTCTTTTCTTCGAGGGTATGTCATCTGCCAAAATCGATCTTATTGTATCAGATACTCATCTTGTTACCCGCCCTATATTTTCTTAAAGGGATCTCATTTGCCAAAGTCAGTCTTACCCTAGCAGGTACTAGCACCGCCCACCCAACTTCATTATCCAAAATCAGTGTTGTCTTAGCAGTTACAACCTATGATTCGACTGATTTTGGCAAATGACATAACCTCTAAGAATAGAGAGGGTGGGTGGTATTATTGTTAAAAAAAGACCGATGTTGTCAAATGAGATACGTTCTAAGAAAAGAGAGCACGATGCAAAAATAAAGTGTTTGAAAAAGCTGAAAATTGTAGAGTTTTAGATTTGTCATTTGCCAAAATTAGTCTTTTATTAAAAAGTACCCACTCTCTATTTTCTTAGAGGGTATGTCATTTGCCAACAGTAGTTCTATCTGAGCAGGTACTGGCCCCGCCCACTTCTCCCTCTATTTCCTTAGAGAATACGTCATTTGCCAGGTACTGGCTCCACCCACTTTTTTCATATTCGCTCTATTGTCATGTGATTGTCCTCTACAGTTGTTTAAGTCAAGACCAAGATCAGTCAGGTCTTGAAGTAGTACTTCTTTTAATTCTCCGGCGCGGCGGTTATATTTTCAACAGGGAGAAATTTTATAAAATGTTCTTCAATTTTAGGACTTTCTATAATGTTTATATATTTTGAATGATTTTAAGTTCTTCTGCTTGGCTTACATCAGAAGTAGAGTCCAAAATTATTGAATAACACACTGCCTCTAAAGGAGACTTTAAAATGAGAACCAAGAACTTTAGGTCCAGCAGGAATTCCTGGACCTTCAAGTCTTGAAGATCAAAAAGGGCAACCGGTATTAAGGGGCGATCTACGTGCCCCAGAATTACCTCGATATCCAGAAATTAAAGGTGAACCTGACATACCGAGACAAGAAGAACCAAAAGAATAGCAACGACCATCTGGAGTTCTTGAACCTCCAGAACCGCCAGGAATGGACGAACTTTCGGAACTGAATGAAAAAACAGGAGACTGGGGATTCGATGGACTTCCCGGACCTCAAGCGTTAGTCGGCATACCAGGATTTATTGGGTATCCTGGAGAAAAAGGCGACACGGGATCAGATTGATTGGACCCCCAGAAAGACTAGGATTTAAAAGACAACCTGGATTCCTGGGATTGCCTGGCGAAAAATGCAATCAAGGAAAGGTACTTGCTAAGGTTGAGAAAGGTGAGCATGGAATTTCTGGATTAAGAGGACTCGACGGATTACCTGGCAGACAAGGGATCTCTGGAGCTAAAGGCGAATCAGGTTTTCCTGGTTAGAGCATTCCCAGGCAAAAGGGTCACCACGGTGCACGAGGTCTTTCTAGAATCAATGGCATCAACAAGCTGCTTTCCCAGGCCTGAAAGGAGAAAGAGGTTTCCCTGAGAAACGAGGTGCTCCTGGTATCGATGGTTTATCTGGAGAAAAAGGTGACATCGGTTTGCCAGACCGCAATGTTCTTGATGATATAAGGGAAAAAAAGGACCCCTGGGACCACTCGGACCAGTGGCCTTCCTTGATCCAAAGGGAGAATACGGTGAACGCGGACCTGGATCACTGGTAAATGTAAAAGGCGACAAAGGGGAACCGGCTTCAACAGGATTGCGTCGCCTAGAAGGTGAAAAAATGATCGAGGGTATCCAGGTCAGCCAGGATTGTCAGGGGGAAAGTTCAGTGCAGGATTCCCTGAACCCAAAGCCGACGCGGGTTAGGGATTAATATGAGATAGTTTTGTTTTGTAGGTGATCTAAGGTTGTCTGGCCAACCTGGATCCTGTTGGAATGATTGAAGAGAAAGGTTTCCCGGCTGCGCCTGGCAATCCCGGTATATCAGGAATCCCAGGAGTTATAGGCAAAACATTGAATTTTGCGAATTCTGGTACTTAACAGATGCTGTAGGTCAGAAGGGAGAACCAGCACCTCCAGGCCAGCCAGGTCCCAAAGGAGACAAGGAAGTAGTCGAACCCTCTGAACCACGAGAGGAACGTAATTTGTCAGGTCCGATTGGCCCTCCTGGACGAGACGGTATACCAAGCGTGAAGGGTGGCCGTGGAAGAAACGCTTTTCCAGGTACTCCAGGTCCAGCGGGCGAAAGAGGCGACAGAAATGAAGTAGATATCGTCCGTAGTACTGGATCAGTGGGCAAACCAGGTCCCAAAGGAGAATCAGGACCGGCTTGCTAAGCAATTGGTGATTATCCAACGGAAACATTGTTGGTTAAACACAGTCAAAGCGTCGAAGTACCGCTCTGTGAGAGCCGGTTGAGGAGTCTGCCATTAGACAGTATATCTCCAGATGCGTGGATGAAACTCTTTGCTGATGCGTTACACGTACCTGAAACAGAATGAACAAAGGTTCAATGAATCAGACGTACATTTATTACAGCTTCCAATAATCCCAGAATCGTTGCAGCTACGCCACTGACTGCGGCCAGAAACCGAGTGTTTATTTACAGTCGTTCCCGCAGGTCCAACACGCCCGACATTCAACGATTTAAATGAGGATGTCTTTGAAACATACATAGATAATTACAAGGAATACCTCGATTCGTTCTGGTGGGTTTAGAATGGGTTGCAATTGAACGCATCTGCCGTTGTTGCATCACCGCAAGCTGCACGAAATGGCGAGTAAGACGTGTTGTGTGCGAGCATTCAAGTCTCCGATTCATTTGAAAGATTTAATCACCGAGTATTGATGTCTTGCGTTAGTTACTGGCGATGATACGCGGAATTTGCGACGCTTGGAGGTGGCGATATGGGATTGTTGTGCGAAGGACGCGGTTTTTATCAGTTAGACTATATCTTTAGAAAATTATAAGCAAATGGAAAATAATCAAAAACGCGCGCCTAATTTAAGTATTTTATAAAGAGGAAGTAAGACAATAAAAATTACCGTTACTTATTATGTCTTGATATATTCATCACCACTGCAATTTTCCTCGAACGTGTGCAGATGATGGCGTCGCAAAAAGTGTTCATTTACAGGAGGAATTAAAATTAGCATCACGTTTCTGTTCAGTGGTTTTAAGTGCCAGTTAATTAAAGAAAAGTTTACTTTGTTACAGTTTTTTATTATTAAAGTGTGATTAAGTAAAAAGTAAGTAATCTTTAAGTAACATTTTGTACGCAGCTGCGTCACGTTATAACTTATATTAAATTTAACCAATATAAGCAAATTAATGGAATTATCACGTCAAATGGAATTTAACCACTTCATAAGGATTTCAGCGACGTTGTTAAGATAAATCAACAAGATGTAGGTAAGTAAAATTATCGCGAAATTTGGACGCATAAAACATACTTACAAACATGCATAATGATACAAAGTAACGGTATTGAAGGATAATGCAGGAAATTATTAACATACGGTTTTCTGACCGAAATTTGTTCTTGTTTCAATTAAATTTTGTATTGTGAATTATCACTAAGGTCCCTGAGTTAAGGTAAAAATTGTTTATTGTTTAGATTCAGTTTAGATTTGCCAAAAAAATTAAATGTTAAGGTGTCAATACTTGGCTTAAGCATCACTTGATAAACCTTACAGAACCTCCACGACATTAACCCACTTCTGCCTCCCTATCCATCAAATCTTCGCTCTTCCTCGCCACGCGAGGATTTAAGTAATGACAGTAATTCAGTTTTATTGCACCTTTCATTACCGCCGCGTTTTTTCGCGTTTCGATTCACGAGCGGCCATCCATCAGCCGGAACTCCGCACTCCAATAAAGTCAATAGTTGGACATAGGCGTCTCATAAATCGCAATTACAGGGGCACCGGCTATGACGTGAATAATTCATCGCGCTTTTCCCGAGAATGGGAGCACGTGCTCCGCACATCCTCGTAATTAATTTAGCGATGACAAAAATGGTCCTTTCCGCGTCGAGGCACAGGTGAGGCACGCCATCCCAAGATAAGTTGCTGTGTAATACGTCCGAGCAATGGAGCAGTTACCGTTGCTCGTAATCAGAAGTAATTCTCGGGTTATTAAAGCCAACAGCGCCATCTGCTGCCGGCGAGTCGCAAAGGATGGATGATTTATCGCCGCCCGAATTGGACGAATAATTGCTCCGGGGGGACGTCTTACTTTCTTCCGTGAGGCGAAAAATGCCAGGTATTTGTCAACGTTTATTACGACAAATGGGCTGCAGCAACACTGTAATGAACAAAAAACGGAAGCCAAAATTGTAATAAAAACCGGGATTTAAGCCCGAAAATGGCAAATTAGATATGTTTCTAAATTTTCGACAGAAAAATTTTCCTTTTGTCTATTAGGAGATTTTTATACCTAGAGAAGGATCTCTCAACATTACACGATGTTAAAAGAGAGTTGAACCCCGTCTTGTCAGAACAGGTTCTGGAGACAATACACGATCCGGTAAGGCCTCCCCGAAGAAATAGAAATTCTAATTATCAAAAATCAAGTGTTTAACGACTGGTAGATTTGTGTTTGACCACTTTGTTGGCGTACACAAAGTCCATGACGGAATAATGAAAGGTGCAATAAAATTGAATTACTGTCATTACCTTAAATCCTCTGCGGCGCGCGGAAGAGTGAAGATTTGCTGAATTAACACCCAGAAGTGGGTTAATGTCGCTGCAATTTTGCGGAGGTTCTTATTCGTATTTAATTGATAATGACGGTTTACAGTAATCGAAAAGGCGGGAACTGGAGTGTTGTGAGAAGTGATCATTCTGTCTCATTTGGCAGTCACGCCATTTAGGCATAAGTCAAAACTGACAGTTAAGGACTACTTGCTGAGTTGGCTGCTTTATGTAACGGGTGATTTATCTGCCGGAGGAATTTTTTGATCAGACGGTACAATCTCAAGATGAATTTAAATTACCAAAGTGAATGAAAGCATACTGCGGATCTAAAATGGTTTCTTAATTTTTTTTAATAGAATACTGTCATTTCGTCCCATTAGAAAAATTTGTGCTTATTATTTTTGTGATTTCAAAAGTCCAAAATAAATATTCAAGAACATATAGAGCAAGGATTGTCCTTTTTTGTGTCTAGTGTTTATTAAAATTTCATGTATTTCGACTTGAAGTGTATTGCATATTTTGGACAAGACTGATTTTCGATGAAAAACTAGTCGCTATGCCATGGAGATATGATTTTTAGGATAAAAATTCAAGGGCGATTCATGAACTACAAGTACAAGAGCATGCACTTTATAAAATTTAAATCCAAAAAAAATTAAAAATTCTGAAAATTATAAACATCCCACAAACTCAAAAATCTGGAACAAAATTGTAAATCTTCAAGAAACCCATAACCAAGAAATTAAAAAATGCAAAAACATTTTGCTAAATAAAAAGAAATACTTTCAAGAAATTTAAGAAAATGAAAAACTCAAGAAGCTTCAGAAACTCAGATAACCTAAGAGTCCTAGAAACCCAAAAAATTTAGTGAGACCAGAAAACCCAAGAAACCAAGGAAAGAAATTCTAGAAAATGAAGGAGAAATTTTGGTCAGCGTTTTACAATCTACACGATATTCCTAACATACATGGAGAATTTGACAACAATCGGTCGAGTGGTTTCCAAGATTTTTTGTTTAATAAAAATCGATACAGACTACAGACAACAGACAGACAGACCTAAAGGGAAGACCTACTTTTTCGTACTCTAGGGGCCATGAAACGCATAGAGGAAACATGAAAGTGAGACAATGAAACTAAGAAGCCCAGGAAATTCAAAAAAAGAAGAAATCCAAAAAATCTCAGAATTCCGAGAAATACAAAAAAATCCAACAAATTGATAATTCTGAAGAAACCCGAAGTCCTAAAAAGTATGAAGAATTAAAAGAATAAAAAAATAAAAAATAACTTTCAAGAAATTTAAGAAACTCAAAAAACTCAAGGAGCTTCAGTAACTCAGGTAATCCAAGAAACCAAAAAATGCGAGAAATCTGAGAAATCCAAGAGTCCAAGAAACCCAAAAAATCGAGTGAAACAAGAAAACCCAAGAAACCAAGGAAATTCTAGAAAATGAAGAAGCCCAAGATAACTACGAATCCTTAGAAAACGAAGAAATTTTAGTTAGCGCGTTACAATCTACAAGATATTTCTAACATTAATTTGACATGACTATAATTTGACAAAAATCTGTCGGGTGATTTCGAAGATTTTTTATCTAACAAAAATCAACACAGACTACAGACAACAGACAGACAAACAGATCTAAACGGAAGACTTACTTTTTCGTACTCTAGGTGCCCCGAAACGTCGAAGGAACATGAAAGTAGTAGTTCGTCGAACGCAGCTTATTACAATTTCTCCTTAGCTTAGGCTGGGGAATGAAAAATTAATCCAATAAATCAATAAAACCTAGGAATCCCAGGAAATTCAAGAAATCCAAGAAATTTCAGAAATCCGGGAAATGCAAAAAATCCAACAAATTCTGAAGATTATAAACATTTCAGAAATTCAAAAATTTGGAACAAAATTGTAAAACTTCATGAAGCCCCAGACCAAGCAATTAAAAAAAATCCAAGAAATCCAAGTATGAACATTTAAAAAAATAAAAAAATAAATTTCAAGAAATTTAAGAAACTCAAAAAACTCAAGGAGCTTCAAAAATATAGGTGATCCAAGACACCAAGAAATCAAAAAAGTCTAGTCAGTCAAGAAAACCGAGAAACCTAGGAAATTCTAGAAAATGAATAGCGCTCGATCTACAGACCTAAATGGTAGACCTACTTTTTCGTACTTTTGGGATCATGAAACGTCGAGGAAACATAAAAGTAGCCGTTTCTCCTTAGCTTACTCTCGGAAAGGAAAGATTAGTCCAGTAAGACAATGAAACCTAAAAAGCCTAAAGAACAAAAATCTCAGAAATTCGAGAAAAACAAAAAATTCCAACAAATTCGAAATTTTGTTGGTTATAAAATATTTCAGAAATACAAAAATTTGGAACATAATTTAAAACTTCAAGCAACTCAAAACCAAGAAGCCCAAAATTTTAAAATGTAAAAATTTAAGAAACTCGAAAAACTCAGGAAGCTTCAGGTAACCCAAGAACCCAAGAAATCTAAGAAATCTAAATAAAAGGCACAAAAACCCAAGAAATAGAAAAAATCTAGTGAAACAAGAAGACCCAAGAAACCCAGGAAATTCTAGAAGATGAAGAAGCTCGGGAAAACTAAGAACCCTAAGAAATCGAAGAAATTTTAGTTAGC